TGAACAACATATGACCAATATGTTTTATGTAGTCTGGATTGGTATAAAATAGCTCTTCCTACATTCAAAAGGTGCTGATGTTTTCTTTCGACACGATCATTTTGTTGTGGGTTTTCAACACAAGATCTATGGTGTATAATGCCTTTGTATGAGTAAAATTGGTGAAGTAAAAATTCAGGTCCATTGTTTGTTCGAACAATTTTGAGTGTGATGTGAAATTGGTTAATGATTGTGGTGATAAAATTTTGAACTTGTGTGGATACTTCAGCTTTGGATTTAAGGAGAATGATCCATACGAATCTAGTGTGATCATCAAGAATGGTTAGGAAATATTTGTGGTTATGTATAGAAGGAGTAGATAGAGGACCCCATATATCAAAATGTATAAGCTCAAATTTATGGAAAGCAGTAGAAGAACTTGAATGATATGGCAATTTTCTTTGTTCAGCTAAGTGACAAACATCACAAGTAACATGATTATCAAATTCAAGAGAATAATACAATTTAGACATTTGAGCTATTCTCTTTTGAGATACATGACCATGTCGGAAATGCCATGAAACAGACTTGGGAATTACAATATTTTGGCTATGTGGTAAAGGAAATGAGTATTTAGCATTGCATGTGTTACCTTGGATAGGGAGGTTGGGTGGGTGAGTAGGGTTGAATGCTTCATAATGAGATTCCTTTATTTGTAAGATGTACAGTCCATTCTCCTTTCTACCCAAACTAATTGTCCTCAGAGAACTCATTTCCTGCAAGTGACATTGATCAATAGAAAAATTAGCAGAACAATGCAAGTTATGACACAATTTTGAAATGGAAATTAGATTCAAGTTGAATTCAGGTGCAAATAAAACATGGTTTAGATATAACACAAGTGTGAAACTGATATTGCCAGCATAGTGAACAATGGTGCAATTACCATTAGGAAGTGTGACCCGAATATGTGTAATTTTATAATATGAACTAAACAAACTCAAAGATGAGTAAACATGATCATTGGCACCAAAATATAAAATCCATGAATGTGAAAATGTGTTTGTGTGGTAGTTTATATTGCAAATAATACCCGAGGGCTGATCAGAGACAATGTAGCTAGTGGAAACCTGATTAGATGTAGAACTGCTAGCAGATGTAGAGATACCTGAGGTTTGCAATAAACTGATGAGTTGGTCATATTGAGCTTGTGTGAATGACATCTGATTAATGATGTTGGGAGTATCTGATATGGTTTTAGTTGAAGGAGTTTCCACTTGGCTCATATTCACAGATGCCCTATTCTTGTTAAAGTTGGGATGACCATGCTTTTGGTAACAAAAATCCACAGTGTGTCCAGTTCTATTGCAAAAGGTGCAAACATGAGGAGAGTGTTTTGGAGGGTAAGAACCACCTTTATGCTTAGCATCATATCTTTGTGCAGCATTCACAAGAATGAATGCATCATCAACATGTGTAATGTTCTTATGATGACTCTCTTCTTGAATAATAAGAGAATATATGCGATTCATAGAAGGTAAGGGATCCATCAAAACCTAAGTCCTAACAACATAAAAACTATCACTCAAACCTGTGAGAAACTGAATAGTTTGCTCCTCAAGTCTATGTTCTTGAGCAGTTTGTATAACATGGCATCTACATCGATGTGCACACGTGCAGATAGGCAAAGGTCTGTGAGAGTTGAGCTCCTCCCATAAACCTTTAATATCAAGAAAGTACTCCATGACAGATCATGAGTTTTGTTTCAAACTATTGATGGTGGTTCTTAGGGTTACAATGCAAATACGACCAGCTTTAGAAAATCTCTCATGTAAATCTTTCCATGCATCAATAAAATTTTCATGGAAAAGAATAGTAGAAGCAATTTGACCACTAACCAAATTTATGATCCAAGAGAGAATGAGGTGATTGCAACGTTGCCATTGAATGAAGTTGAGGTGATCTTCATCAAGAACTTCGGTAGAACCATCGATGGACTTCAGTTTATTCTTGGCACCCAAAGAACGTTGCATTGAGCGATTCTATGTGAGATAATTGAAACCGTCAAGCTTGGGAGTGATAATTACAAAATTAGGCCTGTCACTAAGGTGGATGTAGAAGATCGAATCAAGATCAAGGTGTGAACTCGGAGCAAGACGCGAAGGCATGTTGGATTGATGAGAAAGATGATGAGGGATAACAGAATTTCAGAAAAAGGATAAGATGAAGATCAATGAAGAGATGGAGGAGATTCTTCAACAAAAATGATGAGCAACGAATTAGAAACGAAGTGTGTTCATTGATTGGGGCTTGATACCATATTATCAATACACAATGAACATGCTGGCAAAGTGAATTTCTCATTAGAAGAAGAGATTACAAAAGTGAAATATTTATACTCATATGACTATAGTACACTATAGACATGCGTGCACTATCATACACAATATACTTACCCTAAAATGGTAACTGTTATGAACACTTATAACAATTTATTGTAATAGAAAATTGAAAAAGGGAAAAAGTTAGTTAGCATCAACTTGGTTCAATAATATTTCTCAAACAATCTTGCAAATACTTACATGTAATAAACAAACTTAAATAAGTTCATCCAAAGAAAATGAAAAACTTCGCGAATTAGAAACCAACAAACAACACAAACATGCATTTCACGGGAAAACATCACCCCTCTAAGCATGCCCTTAATCGGTTGAAAGCTTTAAGCAGGTTGTGAAAGGAAGTGAGGTTCAAGATGTAGCTTTCATGGTTTTGTTAGAAGGATAAAAAACGGTGGTACTGTATCTTGATGTTATACAACACACACATTCTTATATGATATCTTTTGTATCTAAAATTTATAACTTATGTATCTTTTGGAAACTGAAATTTTCTTAAATTTTTTAATGTTTCATTGTATCCATTGCATCATGGAAAGTTTCAGAGAGGCTGAAATGATGCTCAAGAAGTACAAAATATTAATGTACAATAGTGGACTTGTTGGTGTTTCACGGAGGAAGGTGTAGATGAAATGCATGCATGCAACATTGGAGTTGTAGTCTCACATTATTTAGCATAGAAATAAAATAAATGTTTATAAACCAATTAAATATATAAACTTACGAATTGATAACAATTGGAGAGTAATTAGACTGCTTTAGAAACTAAATTATGCTTTAAACCCAAATCATAAATTTTAATAATTCATAAAAATTATTAATAAAAACAATTTAAAAAAACATAAACAAATTAATTAAAAAAGAGATTAATTTATTTTGTGGATGAAGGTCTTGGATTTGTGGTGTTTAAATTTTCTTTTTAGATGAGGCTAAAAATGCATTGGGGCAATTATATTGGGGACAAAGTTTGACAAAATTTCAATCATTCTTTTAAATGTGAAGGCTGTTGAAATCCCACTTCCGGATGAGTATTTTATTTAAAAATATATTTTGACAGTATATTTTAATTGATTTGTTGAAAAGTTATGTGTGTTAGTGAATTTTTGTTTTGTTTTATTTAGATAAACAATTTATATAACGGAGTTAATCTCTTCCGTTATCAGAAATTAAGCAAATTGGTATTCGATGCAGACACGTTTCTTGATTGTTTGTTCAACAAGCAAAAACTTGATATTTCGTCTTTAGCCTTCCCTTCCACATGGAACTCTAGAGCGCCATCTCCACATAAATTGGATATCCACCTTAAAACAACAACCTCAAGAAAAATAATAGAACAATTTTTTATATCCATTTCACTCGCTAAACGCCTCTTATTGTGTACATCTATAATTTATTTGTCTTTGACAAACGCCTCTTGTTGTTTTTACTTGTTTTAAAAATGAGTAAGAAACATCTAATCGGTATGAATTCATATTACACGTCTATTAAATTATCAGTTATAAAATTTGAATTCATTATTTAATTAATTAATATTCACATAGTTACAAATATAAATTAATAATATGTATAAATTTTTAATTATTGATCTGTACTTATAATAAAAATAAAAGTAAAAAAAAATATAAAAGATAGATATTAAAATGAACCGTCTATCTGATAAATACGTTTACATATAATCCGCGAATAGAGCTACCAAAATGGACCCAGTCCATCGGGCCGGTCCATAAGTCCAATAACTTAACAAGGACCGGGCCACAAAACACCTTAAAAAATAGGATCCTATCTTTTTGTCTCAATCCATCGGGCCTATATTTTTCATGGATCGGACTGAGTCGGGCCAAGCAGGCTTCAGGCTGACCCATTAAAAAAAGATTTTGGTAAATTTTGGAAAAAAAAGATTA